CTGAGCCGAAGGCAGTCGCTTAACCAACTGAGCCACCCAGGCGCCCACTCTCAAAAATTTAATTGGCTTTTTATTTATTAGTTTCCAGTCAGCTCCATGGGCCTTAGCCCCAGCCACAGTTCTTTCCTAATCATACTTAAATTTGCTACGTAGCTGTCTGTCTTAATGGCCCCATACTTCTTCCTTGACTTAATTTTGAGTACAGGTATTTCTGCTATACTGCCGTATAGGCCTTCCTGGATTCTGCAGTCATACATTAAAATAAATGGGGCTTATGGAAAAAATCAGATTGTGGCAGGGCACTCAAAATCTGTGAAACATTGTAACCAGTACACCAGTAAAAACAACAATAATTATAATAAATGTATTACAATCAATAAATATATTAAATATATATTATAAATATACTAAATCTCCATTGGCATACGCACCCAGCATCAGTCAGTTGAACCTTTCCAGCGTTAATCCCCTGGGTGGTTGTTTCCTCCTCTGAGATTGGGGTCTTGAAGACATTCGCTTACAATAGAGACCAATTTCATTATAATTAAAAATTTGACGTATGAGATGTGTAGGCTTTGATGATCAAAAACTTTTTTTTAATTTTTTTAAAGATTGATTGATTGATTGATTGATTTGACAGCACAAGCAGGGGGAGCGGCAGGCTGAGGGAGAGGGGAGAAGCAGGCTCCCCACTGAGCACGGAGCCTGAAGCCCGATGCGGGGCTCGATCCCAGGACCCTGGGATCATGACCTGAGCTGAAGGCAGACGCTTAACCATCTGAGCCACCCAGAGACCCCATGAAAAACTTTTAAAAACAGGAGGGGAAACATATGCCCTCAACTTCACCAGCTATAAAGTGGAAAGTTCAGTGGTTCGTGAAGCAGGTGAACCAGCGACTACTTGCATTAAAGGAAGGGACAGAAGTAGGATGTTCAGCTTTTTTCTTAAGGTCTGTGTGTATTGCTCAGGCTGTCTTGTTCACTGTGAGAAAGCTTTCTCTTGATCCTTTTAAACATTAACTTGCAGGGGAAAATCTCATATTAACCAACAGGACTTTGGTGTTACACTGACATCATTTCCCCATTTACTAATAGCATTTGAACGAATTCACATTAGAGAAATAGGCTTTGTAGCAAAATACCCTAAGAAACTGCTTTGGTGAGAGGACCTCCCAGTGTGTCTTTTAGAAAAGCTATTTTACTGGGCACTGCCTTAATCCTTCAGGAGGTTTTATCAGTGGTTGTAGGGGCACATCTTTGGCTTGATCCTGCCTTGAGACTGAATTCTAGTTAGCATTTGTAGCTCAAGACTTTCTCTGTTTTTATTAAGCATCTGCTTCTTCCAGCCTTACAAATCGCTGACTTTCTGAACTCCTTTAATCCTGATTATAAACCAATCAGTTCTTTTCTGAATTCATCCTTTTCATGTAATAATTTGTCAAATACGGCCAACAGTAACCAACACACTGTCTTCACAGTCCATTTTCCTGTTAGAGCTATGAGTTCTCTATCTTCTGAGATAAATAGGTGATAGTCTCACCGAGAATTTCACCACTGCTGTCCTGTTAGCCTCCTGTACCCATTTCCTTGCTCGTTTTCACCAGCTCCTAAGCCTTTGCCATATATTTGAGTTTTCTGGATGAGGCAGCACCCACTTCTGGATTCCATCTGTATCAGCTAGGAGAGGCCAGATTATGCATGATGCTACAGTACTAACCAACACAAGATCTCAGAGGTTTTAAAAACACACTCTGTGTAAAATTAAATGAAAAAGAAAGAGAAAATCCACTGCACCGTGTGTAGCCTGTAAATCATTTTCGTCACTCTAGGACCCGGGTGGATAGCAGTGACAGCAGTTGTCATTTTGAAGATTGGTAGTCCCTGTGGGAGAGGGAAAAGAGATCTAGAGGGTCTCATGGGTTAGAAAATGCCCTGTCCTGCTGCATGCCACTTCTACTCAGGAGGCGCTACCTTCCAGCAGTAGTCACATGGCCCTACCCAACGGCAGGGGAGGGGGCGGGGTCAGGGTCAGGGTCAGGACATGCAGTCCTGCCACGTGGGAAGAAGGCTGAGAGCCCAGAGGTCTTTGGGAAGAACACATTCATTATGACCACAGAGGATTTCCCCTCAATTATTTTTCTCTGTCTTCCTGCTTTTTGTTTAATTCCTAGCTTTTGCTGGTTAATTGAATTTTACCATCTCTCCTCCCTTGCTTAATTTGAGATAATTATGTGAGTAAGTTTAATGGTATTTGTAGTAGTTTAGATTAGTTCCATGGGTCAGAAGTTTTGGCACATGCAAAATAAGGCTAAGTAGAATTAAAAGCCACTGAGATCTTCCTACTTAAAATATGAAGTGTGAAATTTTGATATGTGCAAAATATGTGGTTATAGGGACAACCAAACTTAAGTTATTTTCGAGTGTCATTTGCCAGAGTAGAAACAGACCATGAGCCGTGGAGTCAGGCAGGCCTGGGTCGAGCACTGCTTCCGTCATTTAAGAGATATGTAATCTTAGACAAATTATTTAGCCTCTTAGAGGCATAATTTCCTCATTTATAAATACAAACAAGTACAAATACATCTACAGATGTCAAGTAAAACATGGTGGCATTTATCACCAGGCCTTTCTGAAATTCTACTGAAATGAAAGTAAAATCACTTTTTAATTTTTTTTAAAAGATTTTGTTTATCAGAGAGAGAGAGCACAAAGCAGGGGGAACGGCAGGCAGAGGGAGAAGCAGGCTCCCCGTTGAGCAGGGAGGGGAGCCTGATGCGGGGCTTGATCCTAGGACCCTGGAATCATGACCTGAGCCGAAGGCAGACGCTTAACTGACTGAGCCACCCAGGCGTCCCTATTTTTAAATTTTTTTTAAATTTTTTATTTATTTTTTGTAAGCTGGGGGTGGGGGTTGGTGGGGTAGTGGTGGGAAGGGCGGAGGGGGTAGAGAGAGAGAATCCCAAGCAGGCTCCACACAAAGCACAGAGCCCGACACAGGGCTCGATCTCATGACCCGAGCCAAAACCAAGAATTGGACACTGAACCAGCTGAGCCACACAGGCATCCCAAAATCACTTTTTTTAAAAGAACAAATCCATAAGGACAAAGAAAACAGAAGATAGTAATGACAGAGTAGTTGTGGACTACATAGTAGAGTCATCATAATGTAAGAATATTGATTTAAGAAAAAGCTATGCTAGAACCCTATCGGGAGGATGGAGGGAGGATTGGGAGCAATAAGGTGAGAAAAACCATAGTGGGAGACAAGTAGTAACATCTTAAAATGAAAAAAATCAAGAAATAGAAACATAATCATGTTTAGAAATATGGAAGGAGGGGCGCCTGGGTGGCTCAGTCAGTTAAGCGTCTGCCTTCGGCTCAGGTCATGATCCCAGGGTCCTGGGATCGAGCCCCGCAACGCAGGGAGCCTGCTTCTCCCTCTCCCTCTGCCTGCCGCTCCCCCTGCTTGTGCTATCTTTCTCTCTCTCTGTCAAATAAATAAATAAAAATCTTTTAAAAAAAATATGGAAGGAAATGCTGGGGAGGAGGAGCTAATGTAGTTGAACATTTTCGTTTCCAGGCTATGGGATCAGATAGGATGGAGTCGGCAGAGGGCTACTCTTTTTGTTAGAAACCATGCTGTGTATGTGACTTGGACAACGATGTGTGCTTTTCTTTTTTTAGTGATCACTTCAATAAAAAATCAAAAATGAGTTTAAAAACCACCCCCAGAGTCTTTTTTTTTTTTTTTTTTTTTTATTTATTTGACAGCGAGAGAGGGAACACAAGCAGGGGGAGTGGGAGAGGGAGAAGCAGGCTCCCCGCGGAGCAGGGAGCCCGATGCGGGGCTCGATCCGAGGACCCCGAGATCATGACCTGAGCCGAAGGCAGACGCTTAACGACTGAGCCACCCAGGCGCCCCCCACCCCCAGAGTCTTGTGGTGGCTGTTAAATAGGAATAAGGAGAAGCACCTTTGCCTGCTGGTGCACATGGCAGGCCCTCAGCGAATGCTAGTTTCCTTCCTTCTGTCAGCTAGACAGGGTATGTGCTTGCAGCGACAGTCATATGACTCAGGGATGAGGTGGGTGGCTAAACAGCAATGTGAGCTATGTCACAAAGCAATTTAGGCGCCCCTCTCTCTCTCCCTTTTTTTTTTCTTAATGGATGGTTTCATTTTTCTTGGAACCATATCAACCTGATGGTTACTGTTTCTTAGAATTTATTAGACTTCTGTGCAACTGACACATGAAAAATTCCCCGGCTCTTGAGTGGATTTAGTGAGCTACGCATGGAACAAACTTAAAAATACTTAGCAACTTTGAAATTACTCTGATGAATCTGAAACCAGTAATATCTATGATAGTATCTCTACCGAGATTATACATTCTTTAAGGCCACGGACATTTTCTGTCTCTTCTGTCTCTTCTTACGTCAACTAGCTGTTTTATTTCCCTGGTGCACAGTGCCTAGCTCACAGCCAGCTTTGTTCTTTGAGCCCTAACTGTGGTGGATGGTAGTGACTGATGTTGAAAACAAAGCCAGCCAGCAGAAAGCTCTTGTGTGTTTCACCTAGGACACCTGTTTATATATAGACAAGACTGTAAACTCCCTGTGGACAGAGACCATATCTTCCGTCATATCAGCATGCCCTGTAGCATCTAGCACAATGAATGCCATGCAATAGTACATAATTCATTTTGTCATCAGCTATGTACTGAACACCTAAGTGCTTGGCACTGTGCTAAGCTGTAAGGATCCTCAGGGCACTGGACAGATAGACTCCTGCTATCTCAGAATTTGCATTCTAACAAAATTGTGTTGAGTTTAGTAAACCAGTAGCCCAGTAAAATAATGGCCCACACTGAACCATTTAAGCAGCATAAAGAATTGCCTCTGTAAAGAGTCGAATCATTTTCAGCTGTGTTGTATGATGTATGTGCATGCTATGAGAAGGAAATCATGGTATCTGACCTTTTTTCCTCTTTGCTTTTCTTTGTAGATAAGATGCTCCAAGTCAGTTGCAGCTCTCCTCAGAAGAAAAGTCAGTAGTGCTCTGCTCTTGCCATAATACCAAACCTTCTGACCTAAGCTTTGGTGCTGCCACACTGGAAGAATCACACACAGGTTCCAGGAATACCTTTTTTTTTTTTTTTTTTTTGAGTGATTCTTTGTGGATGGAAAAAGATTTGAGTCTTAATAATTACCCTGTTTTAAAGCTATTTCTCTACAGTCTGATCTGTGTTCTGCATCGGGCCACTCACCCATGAGCCACGCAGCCAGCTCTCGCCAGGAGTGGGTGGAAAGCTGTGCCGTGCATGCAGCAGGGATGGCCCAAGAAGATAGCCGTCGGGCTCCAGTGCCATCTGCCTTTTATCATGGTGCCAACCAAGAACTTGACCTGTCCACCAAAGTGTACAAAAGGGAATCGGGAAGTCCTTATTCTGTGTTAGTGGACCCCAAGATGAGCAAGCCCCATCTCCACGAAGCCGAGGAACAGCCGTATTTCAGGGAGCCGAGGGCGGTGTCTGACGTGCGCGCCATTAAGGAAGACCGGGAGAACTCTGATGACACGGACGAGGAGGAGGAGGAGGAGGTTTCTTACAAAAGGGAGCAGATCATAGTGGAGGTAAACCTTAATAACCAAACATTAAATGTGTCTAAAGGGGAAAAGGGTGTCTCTTCTCAGTCCAAAGAGACTCCTGTTCTTAAGACAAGCAGCGAGGAGGAGGCGGAGAGTGAGGAAGAAGCCACCGATGACAGCAATGACTATGGAGAGAACAGGAGGCAGAAGAAGAAGGAGAAGACAGCGGAGAAGGCCAGCGTCCCACACAGGAGAACCAGGAGAGCTGGCTCCGCGGCCACGGCCGCCACTTCCCCGACTCCCAGGACAACAAGAGGGCGTAGGAAGAGCGTAGAGCCACCGAAGCGGAAGAAGCGGGCTGCCAAGGAGCCCAGAGCGCCCGTCCAGAAAGCTAAGTGTGAAGAGAAAGAGACTCTGACCTGTGAGAAGTGCCCCAGGGTGTTTAATACTCGCTGGTACCTGGAGAAGCACATGAACGTTACTCACAGGCGCATGCAGATTTGTGATAAGTGTGGCAAGAAGTTTGTCCTGGAAAGTGAGCTGTCCCTTCACCAGCAAACAGACTGTGAAAAAAATATTCAGGTAGGTCTCACCACCGAGAGGGCACACTTTCCAGGATAGCACCTGGCTGTTCAGACTCACCTGGTATCTGCCCAAGAGAATAAATGCAGTAGAGGCTGAAGGGACAGTTTTCACCGATGTATCTTTTTTAAAAGCTCCTGCTTTGGTCTTTTCAAAACCCGGGCTTAACCTTTTCTTTCAAAAGCATTACACTTACCTGACGCTGGACTAGTGGGAACGCAGGCACACTGGAAGGGGGAATCTGTTCTAGGTGATTGATTGCCCAGGAGGTAAAGTCAACACCGACTTTGCACTGAGATTCACTGTTGTGAGACGTGTAATATATAATTCATTCTGGCATCTTCTCTGTCAAGGTGGGAGATACTGAGTGAAGGTCAGGAATAGAGAGAGGTTCCCTTCTAGGTTTGGAAGGATGCCAGATTCTAGTGCAGCTGATGGGGACAAAAACCATAATGACTCAGACTGGTGAAAATGGAAGATCTCCAGGAGTGAGTTTGCTTTTACCAGTGGAGAGATGACAACATTAAATTTATCAAGAGGCTGAGCCCATGGGAATATGCAAACTTTAAACAGAGGCTGAGCTGGTTGAAAATGTTGCCCACCTGGCGGTAGGGTTACGTAATGCTACTGTACAGTATTATTAAGGTAACAGAATGTGGTTTTCAAACCAGGCCGATGTCTTGAAAGGACTATATTGTGATAGGTTAAGAGGTGTGCTAATTATATTCTGTCGAGTGAATTATATTATGTTGAGCTGTATTGGTTTGTACCTGTGAGTGCATATTAATGAATATTCATAAAAGGTAAGTCTATTACTATCTCCATCAGATATGTAAAATACAAATGTGTTGTGCCATATTTAAGCCAAACTTCTTTTGAAAAATGCAATTGTTTTGTTTTGGTTTGTTTCTTGGAGTGCGCTTGATCTGGCGTGCTCCTTCTTTTTCACTTCACCTCTCACTTTTAATCAACAACTGAGATCATTGCTTTACTTTAAAGGGATTTTTTTAAATATAAACTATGTTTGCCAAAAATGCATTGCTTTTTGATTCATCAGTTGTGACTTGGTCTCTTACACGCTCGGTAATAAAAGAAGGCAGAGCCGTGGCGCCCAGACCCTCCGGTAACTACCACTGGCCTTGCTTGGTTATGAGTTGGTTGTGACAGTTTAGGCCGAGGGGAGTGTGATGCAGTGCTGCACCCTAGGGGTCAGACTCGGGGCTGAAAGGTGTATCTACTGATATCCATAAAGTTGTGGTTTCTTTGTTTGTTTGGGGGTTTTTTACTTAAATTTGCTTTATTAAGTTACAGAAAGAAAACATTTACTACCTCCTCATTCTGTGGCTTTCCTCACTGTTGCTCACCATAAGGCACTTCAGCTTGCATTCAGGTTTTGTGGATTCTGCTGAAAGAGCTCTCTTTACATTCCTGAAGAATACTGCTTTGTTCATACGTATAAATCCTCATGATCCTGGCGGCCTAGTAACGAGTAAAAATTGAAACCCTGCCCTGCACAGTGGCTTGTAGGGGTAGGTCTGTCCTTCTCTCGAGCAGGTCCAACCAGAGGCTTATTTATTTTTTTCACTCTTCTCAGAGTCCTTGTTTCCTGAAGTGACTGTAATGTTCAGAGATTTCTATTTCCAGTGAATAGCTAACTTGTTCCCTTAAATGTTTCCGAGTTGGTGGGTACCCAGAACTTTCTAGTATTGTTTTGCTTTAACCAGAAGCACTTTATTCTGATACCCTTTAGGCCTGATATTCCAGACTGTTACTGATTCATAATACAAGGAACTAGGCTCTGTTGCGTGTGTTTTCTGCAGATGCGTGTACCAGAGATCTGGGGCTGGCTACCAGGGAAAGGGAGGATGATACTGATGGCTTAGAAGGGACATGTCCCATAGAGTAAATTAGATATGGGAAAATACAATAAAATCTCACTAATTTGTGTTAATGAAATCTTCCAAATGCCTTCTTTAAGGTACAGAAACATTGTTACACTTCCACAGATCTATAACTGTTAATATGTGTTTTATCTCATTTTTATTTATGCTCATTTAAAATTAGTTTGTATTCCCTGGTAAATACCTGTTAACCGCTTAGTGACCTATGTGTAGGAAGCAGCTGCTCTTGGTAATCCATTTATTTTTAAAAACTTGGTTCTTCTCCATTGGTACTATACTGATTAAAAGCAATCAAGTCTTTTCTATTAGCGGAACTTTCCATTTCTTTTTGTCTTACTTTTTGTCATTGTTTTCGTACTCCCAAAGCGTCTCTAAAAGATGCATCTTGAAAAATAGAACATACAGATGTTGGTGTTGGCATCTGGACTCCTCGGAGGACTGGCATTTGTTTGTTTGGATTCTGGCCTTTTGCCACGAATCTCTAGCATGCCCGTTTCATCAGCCAGTAGGCAGCTACGGCTTTCTGCAAGCCCCTGTAAATAAAGATTATTTCTATTTATCCTGCTCAGTGTGTTTCCTGTAACAAATCTTTCAAGAAACTCTGGTCCCTTCATGAACACATCAAGATCGTCCATGGATATGCAGAAAAGAAGTTTTCCTGTGAAATTTGTGAGAAGAAATTCTATACCATGGCTCATGTGCGGAAACACATGGTTGGTAAGTTTCTTCTGCTTTTCTCTCATGCCTATAATTTGTCCTTGTTCTTTGGTGTGTTTTACGCTTCGGATGGGGCAGGATCCGAGGAACGCCTTCCTTTAATCCGTTCTGACTTGTCGAAACTAACTGCAGCATGTCCTCAGTAAGCATCACCGACTGGCCCGGGACAGGTTCCTTTCCAACCTTGTGATTTCTGTTTATCTTCAGAACGTTGCTATTAAGGCCTCACAAATTAAAGTGTAGAAAGTCCAGATGGCATGAGTTCCTTGCAGTCCCAGCAAAGGACATGAGTCTTTCCCAGCTTGAGCTTTTCGGTGGGCTTATTTTGAGTACAGTGCATTCTGTGTTGCAGCACACACGAAAGACATGCCATTTACATGTGAAACCTGTGGAAAGTCATTCAAACGCAGCATGTCCCTCAAGGTGCACTCCTTGCAGCATTCTGGAGAGAAGCCCTTCAGATGCGAGGTAAGGAACGTGCTGCCCCCAGGCCTAAGGGACGAGCTTTTGTATTCGTGGTGAGCGGTGAGGGAGAGGTGTGCATAGGACAGGCAAGAGGCCCTCCAGACACACGCCCTGAGCGAGTGCCCCATGTCAGCTCACAGCCAGATAGAGAAAGGTCATCTTAACCCTCAGACTAGGTTAAGCCCGGGAATAATACACGATGAGTTATTTGTCTTCCCTCAGTAATCCAGAGAAGTTGGGTGTAACTTCAGTGCTAATTATTTGAGAAAATCCCCCTTTTATGAATAACTGAGCAGCAGAAATATAGCAGAGCGAAATAGTTGACACAGCAGGTCCTATTTTAAGTGTGAAAAAGAAACCTAATCTCAGAGACTTTGTAGGGTGGGCTCAAGTAAAGCTACTGTGCTTGGCATTCAAAAATCTCCACTGTGTCCAATGCAGAACTGTGACGAAAGGTTTCAATACAAGTACCAGCTACGCTCCCACATGAGCATCCACATTGGGCACAAACAGTTCATGTGCCAGTGGTGTGGCAAGGATTTCAACATGAAGCAGTACTTCGATGAACACATGAAAACACACACTGGTAAGAATTTCTTGGGAAAAGTACAGATATGTCTCAAGCACTTGTTGATGATCACCTGTGCGTCTGTTTACGTAAAAACCGAAAGCAACGAATTTGCATTCTCAGGGCAAATTCTACTTGAAATAAACCTGGCATATAAAAATACAGATTTATTAGCCTGAAAAATTGGGCTTTCATCACTCTGTTCATTTAAAAAAAGGATTATTGGTGAGTGCCTTTTAACTGTGGGTCCCTTCAAGATACTGGATTCTTTGCCTAGGGCACAGGATCTCCTAAAATTGTATGTGGCTTGTTTTGTGTATGTGCCTTGTGCACAGTATGTGTGTTATTTTTTTAAAGGAAAGGCTTCTGGACCTTTCAAAACTGAAGGACACTGACTGCTTTAAATAGAATACCCTCTCAGTGTGCTTAAAGTTTGATCGGATTGGATTTCCCCAAAATTACCACTTTTCAGGAACAACTCCCATCAGATGAAGTTAAATAATATTTTAACCATTTTGTGTTTGTAGAGGTTTTTGCTTCCTAGCATGGGTGTGAATCTTGTAAGCATTTGACTACCCAGTTTGCAGGGAACTGGCTGAAGTAGTAGCTAGCTCCCCCTGTAAACACTGCATCATTGTATCTCAGCCTTAACTTGGTTTTCTGGGGTTAGCTAGTCTTTGTACAAATTGAACAGTATGAACCATTTTTCGGATTTCAACATAAAATCTAATCATGGGATTCTACATTCTGTTTGTCCATAGAGTAGCAGAGCTAGAAAGAACCACAAGAGATGATCTTGCTTAGCCCCTTGCTCTTTTTTGTTCAACCAGAGCCAGAGGTGAAGAAACTCTACCATGGCTGGATCGCTTTAGTTCCCAATTTTCTGTTGAAGTCCAGAGAAAAATGCCTGCCCAGTGGGCTTCCTCCCCATTCAGAGCAGAGCACCCTCCGATTTTAAGGATTAGTCTAGATGAAGAGTCATGAGAGGAGTTTAATTAGATAAATTACCCCTTAAAGGGTAATGAGAACTTTGAAGCCTAAGTGGATGGACGGCAGGATATAGCAGAGTAATTAACAAATTCTCCTCTTCTAATTTGGTGGCTTTTGGACAGGCTCTTAGTTCTGAGTCGCTTTTAGGATTCAGTTTTTTGTTGTAAAGCAGGAAGCTGTGGAACCAGATAGAAAATAAGCTTTTTTGAAGGCAGAAGTTGTGCTATTCCCACACATGATGCTTGGGACATGGTGGCCCCAGAGATGTTGGCCGCGGCCGCATCATTTGCTGGAAGGAACCGGGAGCCGCTGACACCCCTGCACTGCCCTGCCCTCCTCTTCCCCGGCCTCTCCTGGGCGTCATTCCCCCGGTTCCCTCTTCTCAGCTCCTTCTGCCTTTCTCCTCCTTCCTTCCCCTTTGTCCTTCGTCCTGTAGACCTGAAATGTCCATGATATGAAACCAGAGTATTTATTTTGTGACTGTCATGTTTGTTGAATAAAAGTTTATGTTAAATATTCTTCTTTGACCAAATAGGCAAGCTCCACATTTCCTATTTCTTCCAAAGAAATATAGCCACCTAATAGCCTTCTCATTAGAAGAGTAGTACGTACTTACTAAAAAGAATATGAGAAGATGTGAAAGTTAATAACAAAACTGATGATCATCACTGAAACCTTACTGTCAACATTTGGCATACATTTTTAAAAAATTCTTTAGTTTCTTAATACACATATAGTTAGATACTATACATACGTGTTTATGTATTTATGTATATAGACATAAAACAAAAATTGGGTCTTTATTATAACTGGCTTTTCCTTTTGACTGTATTATGTCATTAACAGCAATATCATTTTTTAAATTTTTTATTGTTATGTTAATCACCATACGTTACTTCATTAGTTTTGGATGTAGTGTTCCATGAATCATTGTTTGTGCATAACACCCAGTGCTCCACGCAGAATGTGCCCTCTTTAATACCCATCACCAGGCTGACCCATCCCCC